TCATAAGCCTGGAAAACTTGGCTTTTGGATGCCCATCCTAAGGATTGGCATGCTCTGCACACACGTGTCCTTTCAGACTTTCGCATGTTTCTTGTGTATGATGCTGTTGAGAGTGGCCGCATGCGAGGCATTATGCCTTGTGTGATTGGGTGAGTGTTGCAGTCAATGATGCTGCAGCTTTGCCTGGCCTTTTTCTTCAGGGTACCCGGCAGTCGCAATAGGCCTGGATGCAAAAGGGTTTAGGGGTCTAGGGTTCGTGGTCTAGGGGTTTAGGGTGGTTTAGGGTGGTTTAGGGTTTAGGGTTTAGGATCTGGCGACCCTCGGAAAGGAAGGGGTAGCGAGAGGCACGGCACCTCCTTGAAGACGCCCGGGATGAAGGTTTTTGACATGTTATGACATTTCTGCGAGAACCCCGTCACATAAGCCTAGAAACCCCGAAACCCCAAAATGCAGACCCCAAGCCCGCAGCCTTCCAAACCCGGCGTGGAGCGGTCCGAGCCCCGCCCACGATCCCACGATCCGAGAGCCCAGCTTGACAGGGCCGGGATGCTTAGCGCCTTGGCAGCCGATTTCTGGTGCGTTGCGTAAGTTGTCACTGCCTGCTTGGTTGAGAGTGCAAGTCTTGCAGGCTTCAGCTGCGAGGCAAGGGGATAATCACCTCATCTGAAGCCACAGAGCCGAGCTCCAACCATACACGTCACACTTCATCTCGACTAAACTGAGACCTCCGAGATTCTAGGCATGCTTGTTTCGGAGTGGAGCCTAAGGCTTATGCAGTGCAGCCTGGGGTTGAGCCGGTTTTGTAGTGGCTTATTTGAACTTGAGTTCGCGGCTGAAATGCCACGGCCTTTATGCTAAGGTGTGCAGACTGCCATCGAAGCCTTAGAGAAGTTCAGGCACTGGGTGCTGCATGCTCTGGATTTAGGGGTTTTCGGGTTGTGGTCAGGGCTTTTTGGGTTTGGATACGGTTTCAGGCTTAGGGGTTTTGGGACTGTGGTTAGGGCTGACAGGGTTTAGGGCTATTTAGGGTTTAGGTGGGGGTTTGTGGTTTGCAGGTTTAGGGTCTTGATGTGTTTATGTCCGTGTCTCAGTGCCCCAATGGCCGAGAAGGACCAGGCCTGAAGCTGGTTGGCCGTCCCTTCATGCTGGATTCGTTCAGGTGTTCAGCCGTCCTTTGAATCAAGTTTTGGTGGTTAGCGGGCAGACTACCAATACCGTGTGTGTGTGTGTGTGTGTGTATATATATATGTATATGTAAGGATAAGTGGTTCGCTCGCCCTCGCTTTGCTGTGCTCTGGAGCGATCTGAGCCGCAATCATTTCGAAGCCCTTGTTGCAGATGTATAATGTATAGTCTGTTCAGTTTGGCATGGGCTCGTCAGGACGTTGATGATGTCGAACCGAAGCCCGGAAGCCGTGAACTGGCCACACTCAAGCCTACACCCAATCCCGGCTGCTTCACTTGAACCCAACATCCTAAACACTGCACACTAAGTCCTACACTCTAAACCCTATACCCTGAGAGACCTCGTTTGGCAGAGTCCGAGTTGCGACAGCGCAAACCCGCTGCGCAACAGTCACGGTTCTTTGCCCTTCCTAGTACGCTCCGTCGAGCAAGGCAGGAGTCAGCACCCCCAATCCCCAGCAGTTTTAAACCCAAGCCCCAAGCTCGACCACGAGAAGCTCACGACCGAAGATCCTAGACCCTGAACTCTCCAGCCCCCTGGATAGATGTTGCTTATTTAACCCCTTACAAGGAAAGCTCCACCCTGGTCTCTAAAGCCCTTTCGCCTTGATTCGCTTTAGGCTAAAGCCCTTAAAAGGAGCCCTCTTCTACCATCCCGAAACCCAGGGAGGCAGGGCTGCTCGGGGACTTCGACACGGCGAAGAGCGGCCGTGACATCGTCCAGGGCCTTCAGAGCTGCCTGAAGGAGGGCTCCTTTTCGTGTAGGATTCCGGCTTTGGGGTTTAGGTTTAGGGGCTCAGGGTTTAGGGGTTTGGGTTTGTCTATCCCATTTTTTTCAGGCGTTGAGGGGTTTGATGTTTGCGGTTTGTGGCCGGGTGTGTAGTCCTGATGATTTGCACGGTCGTTTTCATACCACAAGTTTTAACCTATGAGAGTTTGCCGGTGTGGTAGGTTGCTTGCTTCGGTTTCAGAGCTACTAAGAGGCCATCAGACCTGCGGGAGAGAGAGGCAAGCAAGCAAGCAAGCGAAGAGAGTGTTTAAATCCTGGATCCCATGCCCAGGCACCTGTGCCGGGCTTTGGAAGTCGGAGCAAAGCCGCGAAGTCCTAAGCTCTGAAACCCTGAAGTCAAAGCTCGACAGCCACGTCCGGCATGACAGCACAAGGGTGAGCTCCAGACTTTCGTAGCAGTCCTTGCCTGGTCCGGGACGTCGGCTCGAGATCGCAGCTCGATAGACTCCTGATCATCCCCGCCGGCGACCCGTTTACGCGAAGTCGGGGCACCCAGCCTCGAGAAGGTTCAGGGGTTTGGCGGTTGAAGGGCCGAAGGCTGCCAAGCTTCTCCGGAACCCTCCAGAAGGCTTTGGGGGCCAGGGGCTTCAGGAGGGGTCGGGTTCTGTCAAACTTAACTCTTCTGGGCCTGGGCCTGAGAATTCACACTTGAATCGGTTCGTGAACGGCTTTTGAGCGCCAGGACGAAAATCTAAAAATAGCTTTAAACGAGAAGCTCTAAGTTCCCCCAAGCCGCCCTAAAGACCACCAAAACGGGAGCTCCTAACTTTAAGAAGCCCTCAAGTCAGACCGCAAGCCTACCAGCACGCAACATTTCCATCTTGAGAGGTAGCCTTGGGTTCGGAGGCTCAGAGCCGGAACATTGCACTTGGACCCGAAATTTCCAAATGTGCTGCACGCCGCCTTCCCATACCCGCACGATTTCAGCGAAGCGGCTATAAGTGCATCCTGACCTTAACCCTGAGCCTAAAATTTCTGAATTTGACAAAGCCCGCGGTTCAGGCCATGGCTGACAACGAGCCCGCACCCCCTGTGCCTCAGAGGGAGTTTTGGGTTTCGATTTTCGCGGCTTCGGGGCCTTGCTCAGCGTGTAGGAGCTGAAGGTGCAGCTCAAGAAAATGAATGCTTCCCCTGAGGCAGGATCAACTGACAAGGGCTTAGGTCTCAGGCTTTCTGCTTTTGAGGTTCTCAGACAGAGCCATGGAAATTGGAACAAACTCTCAACCCTAACGTGATTGCAGCTCCAGAAAGTAGTGGAGTTGGCGTAGTTGGAGTGTGGCAGAGTCCGAGTTGCGAGAGCGTAAATTTCAAATTCAGGCCCTAAGCCTAAACCTGAAGTCCCTGAACCGTTTCGTTGCCCGCGGCTCCTGGCTGATTAAAGAGGCTAGGAGAACCGAATCATCACCATGGCAATGATCATCATAAGACTTATAGAGCCCAGCATTTCGCTCCTGTGCTTCTAAGCCCCAGGTGCCCGCGGAGCCGGCCAAGCCGGTGAAGAAACGCTCCCCGTGCCTTGGACGGTTTTGGCGATTTTTTTTGAATTTATCCATTTTTTTTGGGGGGGGGGACTTCGGGATCTGTAGGGTTGAGAGGTGTCGTCGGTTTAGAATTTGCGGTTTAAGACTTTCGGGCTTAGGACCTTGAGCTTGGGGTTTCGGGTTTAGGTTGTGGGCTTAGGGTGTAGCGTATGGGACTTTAGGGGTCTCGGGTTGAGGGTTGCTTTTTTTGAATCCACAATGCTGTCGTGATCCTCCGCTATATCGGGCCGAGCTCTCGTTATGCTGATGCGTCAGAGCCGAGCCAAAGCGCTCTCCAACCCTCGCCGAGGAATCGCTTGGTAGTGGAAGAAGCGCTGAATGACGACAATTCCGTCATTTCCCTGTCGCAGGCTCCGGGTCTTCATGCGGTTCCCAGAGTTTTTGGCTATCGGGGAATGCTGAGTTTTCTATGAGCCCGGTGATGCCCGGTGTCAGGTGCCGTTCATTCAGGCTTTGAGCCCACTGTCCCGACAACACAAGCATAGCCCCGATGTCTGGATGTGCTCATGTGCCATATGCACACCTGCAGAGAAAGGAATAACATGACATGCGCACAAAACATCTGCCTGCCTTGTGCTGAACACAAGATCGGTTCCTTTGTATGGCGTTCGGTCCAGGGTGTAAGAGCACCCTCAGCTTCAAGGGGTTCTGATCAGTCCAATCCCCAAACCGCAAGACTCCAGGCAAAGATGGAGGAGCTGAATCTTTTCCGCGGCGACAACGTGCTCATCAAGGGGAAAAAGCGAAAGGACAGCTGGGGAGTACCGCCCGCACCGCTGTAGCTTAGACCGCAAAACCACAAGGAAAATAAGACTCAGCCGGGCCGGTAGAAAATCCCGAACCTTAGCGCTTTGCTTTGTCCTGCTCTCGGAGCTTTGACCTATGTTGACCTCTCATCTGGCTCTGCAGGACACGGTGTGCATCGTCTTGGCTGACGAGAACCTAGATGATAGCAAGATCCGCATGAACAAGGCCGTATCAAGGGCCGGGTAGAGGGTTGGCGGGGCGATGCCGATGGCAGTCATGACAGTAATATCTGCAATAAGATGATATCGGGTGAAGCTTCGTATTCAAACCTGCAAAAACTGGCAACGACATGCAATGACAGCAACGGCATGCAGTGTATACACAGGTCGTGCGGAAAAATCTTCGAGTCCGCTTGGGCGACATCATCTCCGTCCATGCATGCAGCTGGGCACGACAGAGTCCCAAAAGAGTGATTTGGGAATTTAAGGAATTGATTCCGACTGGAGGTTTCCTGCTACAGGCCTCACGCAAGGGAAATCCTCAGGCCTGAACCACTTTAGCAAGCTAGAGACATCAGACATCTAGGTGGAGACGTGCCGTACGGAAAGCGCATTCACGTTCTCCCGCTGGACGACACCATCGAGGGCATCACAGGTTGCTTGGACTCGACCTAGGAATGTGAAGTGTGGCGGTTTAATTGTGTGAGGATGTGCGGTTTGACTCTTAATTACAGGTTGAGGCTTTGGGGTTTACATGCTTGAAACGGGTTTGAAAGCTGTCCTGCGTAGGGGTGTCCGAGAGGCAACCTCTTCGACACTTACTTGAAACCTTACTACCTGGAGGCCTGGCATGTGAAGTTTCCTAGCTTGATGCTTGCCCGTGTGGTGAGTCCCTGCATCCACAAGTTGTGGCTTCGGTGGTGCTTTGCTCATGTTTCGAGGTCGCTAGCCTGGGCACAACCTCTTTGGCTCGGATGGTGTGAAGCCATGACCAGTACATGCGTGTTTATGAGGTAATTATCCGATGGACACAGGGATGCTGAAGCATCATGGTGGATTGATGCTGTTTCGGGTTTCACAGCTTGGGCGAATTCCTGGGTCAGGGTTGCATCTGTGCCCTGGTGCAGGCCTACCGCCCCGCCCGTCAAGGGGACCTCTTCCTCGTGCGCGGTGGTTTCCGCCCCGTGGAGTTCAAGGCAATCATGGGACGACGGGAAGACGAAGAGCCATCCGAACCTCAAGCCCCACGAAAAACGATCCGCATGCACAGCGCACAGCCGCGAAGAGCGGCAGGCAGAGAAAGCCCCCAACCCCGATGCCCTGAAAAACGACACACCTCATCGCGTGTAACCATCCGCATCACAGCATCAAGCCTTACTAGACGAGCCTTTAAGCTTTTTAATCAATCGGGAAACCGCTCCGGAAGGTGGTTGGAGTGGATCCTGGCGAATTCGCTCCTGGAAGCACAGTGCTAGCTTTAAGTAATGTTAGGACATCATGAACAGCAGTAATAGCATGTAATCATTATGGTATGCTACATTGCAGTATGTTATAGTACACTATTGTAGATAGTACATGAACGCCTTCAAAATCATGTTTGAGCAGTTCCAGACATTCCAGCATCGGAGCCAAAAATCGCCATAGTAAGATGAGGGTCCTCGAGGCATCTAAGGTGCAAGGAGTTGAGTCCAGGGTTTAGGGCTTCTGGAGTGTAGGGAGCTTCGGAGATGAAGGTTAGGGGCCCAGGCTGGAGACTATAGTTTATGAGTCCGAACCTGGACCTGAAATCGGAAAATCTGGAGTATGCTGACCTTCGGGATTAGGGAGTTGGACGATTTCTAGCACGATTCCTGAGTTTTAGGGATCCCTGAGTTTTCGGATTGGAGGGTTTCGGGTGCAGGGCCTTGTGGACTGTAGCTGAGGTTATTGTGGCACCAGACACCGTGATCCATTGCGAGGGCGAACCAGTGTCTGGGCAGCGGAGCGCTATTTCAAGTCCGAAGCCCCAAAGCCTCGGAACCCTAAACTCTAAATTCGAAGACTTTCAGCAGAGAAGCAGTAAACAACACAACCTTTGTAACGATCCTCCGGGCAGAGCGACCATCAATTGGTGGTAGTGTTGGCCGAGAGATATTTGAAGCGGACTGGCTGCATTAGCCAGTGCAGCACGACCAAGCAACATGAGCACAGCAAAGGCAAATCATGAGAACTAGCCACAAGCCCGGCATGGAATGGCGGCAAGAGCAAGCATCGTGAGCATCAGGATTGCTTTCTTTGTTGGCTAAAGAGCAGTGAGAGAAGCCAGAGGGAGCATGACGAGCATTGAATGTTGAGCAGGGCAGCAAGGGCGAGCTTTTGTGAGCAGAAGCCGAGCTATTGTAGCCAAGTCGTGGCAGCAAGGGCAGGCATCACGAGCATGAGGAGGGAGACTTCCAAACACAAGGAATAGCGATAGCGCGCATCATGAGCATCAGCAGGGAGCTTGCTAAGGCCACGGAACAGCAACAGGGAGCATCATGAGCATCAGAAGGGAGACTCTCAAATGCGTGGGGCAGAAGAGCCAGCATCATGAGCATCAGAGGGGAGACTTCGAAACCCACGTGGCAGCGAGCGCGCTCTTCATGAGCATCAGAAGGGAAACTGCTAGCCTCCTTTGCAGCGAGAGCGCAGTTCATGAGCAGAGAATTGTAAGTCCATAGCCGGCAAGAGGGATCATGAGCATCAGAAGGGAGTCGGTTAAATCCATGCAGCAAAACAGCAATCAAAAGCGCATCATCAGCACGGTGCATTGAGAGACTTCAGAAGCGATACCCGCAATGAAGGGTCAGCGAGAGCCAACATGAGCAACAAAAAAGTTAATCCTAGCTGACGAGGCTACGAGCGCATGTATCGCGAGCAAAGCCGAGACCTTCATACTGTTGGACAGCAAGATCCAGGCTTCTAACCGAGGCGAACTTCTCTGCTACGGAGCCATTTTGACAGAAAGAAGCGTCGGTGACGGGGTTTGTGGCTGACCTCAAGCGATTCTTGCGAGTGTTTGTCCAGCCGGTGCGTAGCGACTTTTTTAGGCTGTTTTTGCCTGCTATACCTTGATCGAAATGGCATAGACGCGCTTAGGCATTGAAACCCCTTACTGCACACCCCGTCATACCCCCATTTGCTCTTTTGTCGAAAAAAAGTATCCTGCAGCATCAGACGCGGCCGAGTCATGGGCCACGGTCTCTTACTTGATCTTGGAGATTTGGAGAGTGTAGCCTCCTCCAAGAGCTGTCTACGCGAGGTCCCTCTGTTGTGTCTTCTCCTACAGGTGACAGACCCTACCCTTTTTATTTTTTTGTTGGCTTTGAGATTCTTGTGTTCGGACCTTCTGCGCCAACTTGTACCGTAGACATACACTGTCCGACCCAGATGTCTGACCTAGAGCTGGGAGGAGGAGGAAGTTCTCGCAAAGACACTTTCAAGATTGAAAGCTCAGATTCCTCCAGGGTCTTTCGGAAGATGACGAAGACGTTTAGAGCCTGGAGCCACCGAAATCCGAGCCCCTGCAGCTGGCCCTGGAGGAGCGCCTCCATTTTTCAAACTTTTCATCTTAAACGCCTTATACCAGGAACCTCCTCAAGCCTCCGGGCGTGCCCTGCCGGAGCCAAAACGAGCGCCCCTAAGCCACCTAGGGAACGAAATGAAACCGGTATAGTATAGTATAGTATAGTGTAGTGTAGTGTAGTATCCTTTTGAGCTCTGGTGTCCCCCTCCCAAGGTGAAGCGTGAGGATGAGGAGCGGCTGGACGATGTCGGTGCTTTGGCAGCGTGAAAGGTTTTTGGGAGCAGTTCGAGGCTTTTCCGTCTTGGCTGAGGGTTGCAGGATTTACGTTTAGGGTTCACCAGGCTTTAGGGTTTCGGGCTAAAGGTTTAGGGCTCAGGGTCTAGCTGCTTCCCCTGCCTGGTCGGGGTGTGGGGCCTAGGAGGAACATTCGGGATTCGAGCTTTGGGTGTGTGAGAGCCAGAAGGCCTGAAGTAAGATGATGGTTCCGGGTCTCTGGCCCGGGTTCGTAGGGTATACAGGGATTGTTGTTTAGCGCTTGTCCTGCTATTGGCTTGCCCGTTTCGTCTTACTGCTGCGTGCAGTGCCGCTCTCGAAGGCAAGTCAGAACTGTTCCGATTTTCGATGTTTGACTAGTGATGGCTGGTGGTTGGCCAGAGCCCGGTGCAGGCTGCTGCTTTCACCACGAGCTTCTGTGTGCGGGCCTTTAGGGGGTGCCCTTTAGTTCCTATTGAATTTTGTTGATGCTGAGATGATTACGATTGTGATGGCGAGGATTTGTCCTGTTGGTCTTGGCGCTGTTTGCATGTTGTGTTTTGCTGCAGCTTGGGTGTAAAGGTGTTCGCAGTCGCAGCAGGAGTTACAGCCTCTGCCACTGCCGCCACCGTCGTCCGTCGTCGTCGCCGTCGCCGTCTTTGCTCATGATGATAGTGATGATGATGATGATCCTGTTGCTCCCGGATGTTCTTGGCGACGACGTTGTTGATGATTGTGAGTGCATGAACCCACCCATGGACCCGATCAAACCGTAGTTGCCCAGGTGCGGAGGAATTGCACCGAAACATAACCGGCTCTGCCCAACGACCTGAAACCCACAACAAAGCTGCGAATTCTCCTGAAGTGGGTTGCTTTTGGAGGATACGATGACATCGGAGGCTGCAAGAAGGTGCCTTATCTCTGCAGGGTGTAAGGTTTTGGCCGTCACAACCGCTTGTTCAGATTCGTCTCAACCCTGGTTTTGAAGTTGACGTTAATCATTTTGGTAGTAACCCTGTTGGTAGTTGTGAAAATGCAGCAGGGAGTGTGTGAGAAGCCGGTTGCTCCACAACCCACTTTTTGCCCCCGTTCATTCGTGCGAGAATAGCAGAGCTGTGGACCTCGCCGGTCTGGACTCCTGCAGGGTTTGTGGGGGGCTCTCCGAAGCTCTCTGAACCGTCGAACCCAGGGTTTAAGATGTTGTGTTTAGGGTTTAGGGCGTCGGGAGATAGATATCTAGGGGTTAAGGTTTGGGCTTTAGGGCTTGGGATGGAGGTTACCCCGACCCCGACGTCCTGAGCCCCCGCCAACTCCGCCAGGCGATGGGTCAGATTCGGGAGATGATCGAGCTCCCCCTGCGGCATCCCACGCTCTTCAAGACGCGACCCGGACCGAAGGCTCAGAAGACAGGCTGCCTACTGAAATAGGGTTTGGGACTCCAGAGGGCTGGGTATCCAGGCGTGTGCACTGCAGCCCCCCCCTTAAACACAAGATTCAGAGGGCCTTCCGATGGCATCCAGCGCCTTGAGAGAAGTAGAGTGAGAGCGAGACAGAGACAGGTTTACGACGTTCTGGAGGGGTAATAAATGTTGTGTAACTGCTCTTTCTTTATCATTATTGGATTTATCTTTATTAAGGTTAGTTTAGATTAATAGAATTGTCATTGCTATTGTTAGCCACTGTGTTACTAGACTAATAACAACTTGTTGCTATTGCCATTGCACTTATTATTAGTTTTATGATTACGATTGTCGTTGGCCGAGTGCTACATCTTCCTAAGTAAATCAGGCGGCCCAAGCCCTCAGCACGACAGCTTCACCTCAACCTTCACAGAAATGAAGATTTATTTGTGCCAGGCAACAACGAGCTAGAACCAAGGGGCGCTTGTTTGGATTATGGTTCTGCTTAGCTCCGAACATATGCAGCAGTTCTCAATTTCGAAACTTCAGCCAGGTCCAATTTCGAAACGCCATGAACCCTTACACCCGAAACATAGGCCGGAAGCTGAGCTTTGCCATGCCCGGCCTTCCTTGTAAGGTTGGGGGTGAAGCCCCCACGAGGGGTCCTCTTGCGCCCTGGTGCAAAGAGTGTGGGCGGCTTCGGATGTACGTGAAAGTGTGGAGTTTAGGGTTTAGGGTTTAGGGTTTAGGGGGGGATGAAGCGATTCGTGTTAGCCTTCCGCATGATCGCAGCTCCGCTTTGGGTTTTCCTGCTCCCACTGGGTGCGATTGATGCCAAGCAGCCTCGACTGGGAAAGGTATGGACCCCCTGGAAGTGGCAAAACCCTGATTGCGCGGGCCGTGGCCAACGAGACTGGAGCTTTCTTCTTCCTCATCAACGGTCCAGAAATCATGTCCAAGATGGCAGGCGCGTTTCATCTTTCGCGATTCTAGGGGGGTCAGTGTCGATAGTCGGTGAAGGCAAATTCATCCAGGGAGGAAGTTGGCGCAGTTTAAAGTCAGTGGCGGACAATGCGTCAAGGTAACTGCAGGGCTTGAGATACTCCACAAGCCCCAAACCTTTCAATTGCAAATATGGGCCCGAATAGTTGCCAATATAATTCCGGTGGTTCCTTAAAGTTATAGTACCATATACTCCAAACCCCTATTCTATTTGTAGCTAGGTGGGAGGCAAAAAATTCTAATCGTCATGAAGGCCCCTATATGTCTTTTCTTTCTGCCAGGAGAGGCGGAGAGCAACCTGCGCAAGGCTTTCGAGGAGGCACTGGTGGGTTCAGTGCACGAAAAGGTTTAGGGTTTCGGGTCTAGCGTAGTTCAGGGCTCAAGCCTTTAGGGTTTAGGGCTTATTTGGGGTGATGTTGCGAGGCCGAGAAGAACTCTCCCGCAATCATCTTCATCGATGAGATCGACTCGATCGCCCCAAAGCGAGACAAGACCAGCGGCGAGGTCGGGCGCACAGGCTTTGGGCTGATGTGGGCGTGTGAGGGTTTCGGGTTTGGGGTCTAGGTAGTACCGGCCCGGAAGGTGCGTTTCTGAGAGGATCTCTTCAAAAGGATCTATACGCTTTCAGGTTCAATGGGGTCTAATAAATGGCACGATCAGGCTGAAGAAGCTCAAGTGGTATCGCTTGGAGCAAATTTAGTTTGTGTCGGGATAGGACAAGATGTTGGAAAAGAGGGTTGGGGTTACGTGTAGGGCCTTCGGCAAAGGAGTCTAAGTGAGAACTTGAATCAGTGATGCGCGTCGTGAAGCGCGCGGGAGTGGAAACCCCCCACCAAAGCCCAAAAGGCTGAAGTCATGCATCTCACACCCAGGGAGGGAGCTCCCCCCAAAACTCCAACCAAGGCATGAATATCTCAAGCCCCCCCAAGCTAATCCTAAACCCTCAACCCCCAAACGCTAAACCCTAGAACCTAAAACCCAAAACCCGAAAGTGGGAGGGAAAAAAAACCCAAAACCCGAAAGCCTGAACCGCCCTCCGCCCGATGGAGCCCCCCACTCCCGCCCGCGAGAGCCCCCCTCCCCTGAGAGCCCAAGGTGGAGAAGCGCGTGGTCTCCCAGCTGCTGACGCTGATGGATGGCATCAAAGGCCGTGGCCAGGCCCGGTGTAGGGTGTAGGGAAGTTTAGGGCCTAGGGTTTAGAGTTGGGGGTTTAGGGTTTAGGGTTTAGAGTTGGAGGTTTGGGGTTTAGGAATTTTAAGGTTTAGGGTTTCGGCTTGAGGGTTTGGGGTTCAGGGCCTAGGAAGGTGTCCTGTCAAAAGGGTCTGAGGATGTCACTGGTTCCGGATTCCAGCTTTCAGGGTTGTTTCTGGGCTTGCGGTTCAGCGTAAGGGGCGTTAGTGGTCGAAGAAGGTTGTTGTGTATCGATTGGGGCACTTAGTGTGGGTGGGGACACTTGTGTTCGCAGACCGCCTTGGATTACACTGACATGGAAAACGGCGCCTCCTGAACCACTGAACAATGAGAGAGCCCGCGTTCCGCCCCACCTTGGCCCTGAACGGAACACCGGAACCGAGTCTGCAAGCTCGGATCAGGTGGTGGTCATTGCTGCCAC